AGTGTCGCACGGAGTGCACGGATGTTAACACCGACAGGACGTCCTCACTCCCAGTCGCTGGGTTCCCTCCTTATTTGCTTCAGCTTGCGACGCACCTCCTAGCACATCACATAGTGGGCAGATTTGCGGAAATTTTTTTGATTAATGAATTTCTCAGCTTTCCCGTTTCAGCCACACTATACACCCCTCCCCTCCACCCCTTTCGAGACCATTGCATGCGATCTAAAAGCAAATACTTCAATGGACGACCTTGATTCTGTTGCCATCAAAGGAAAAAGTTCACACACTGAGCTTCAATACGCGCCATTATAGCGAAAAAAGTGGACTTAAATGTAGCGCAGTTCCTGGTATCTTATCTGTTTTTATCGATTGATAAGATTACCTGTCACCCGTCATCGATGTCCTCATCACTAAATCTCGACGATTTGGTGACATTAGCCGCCTTGAACAGCGACGACGACTGCAACTTCCTTTACCAGCCCCTATCAGTAGTTATCGCTTCCAGTCATCCACGGTTAGATGTCCCCATCTCACCCTATATATCACTTGCTGAAATGTACGCCTCGATGACCATGTGACCCGCGCTGTAACACGACGCCTACCAGTCTAACGTCTCCCTCTACCGAATGTCCAGCAGCTTACATCTTGTCACCCACAATATGTCTTCTTGCCCAGTACCTATGTAAGTTGCTTTAGCCCGTGTAGGAGTTCGACAAACAGTGGATTTATTATAGCGGTAGCAATGGTGAATTTAGCAAGAACACCTAGGTCGACTTGCACGTTGCATCCAACAAAGTACCACATATGGCTCTATCACGAGCGGATAACACGGCCTCGCGGTTCTTCCTGCTGGTATCTCGACTGCCCTCCTGTCGTCGTTCCCTCGGGTGGCACCGTTATCTCCGTCGCCCATCTCCAGCCGCCGAGTCTAGAAAGCGTCACATATTAATTCTAACGTACCGTACCCTTTACACCTATTATCATATCTTGGAATCAATGGGCTAGCTCTGCTCTCACCCGCGTCATGAATAAGGTAACCTTCTCCAGGTACTTCTCCTTATGCCGCCTCTTATCTGATCTATCAGCAGCTTAGAGTTTTTCTGACCCACTAATGATGTTCTTGGCCCGCACCCTATGTTAGATCTTAGAATCAAGAGCGAGCTGATGCTGCCACCCGCCTTATGGATATGGTGACCTCCCTTTCTAACGCCTCTTATCGGCCCTCATCAACTGATATCACTTCCTGTCACCCACCAACAGTGTTCCCGTCACACCCCCTACATCGCTTCTTTTACCCAATGTCTCACGGCTATTGGGACCGGCGCTATGAATTTCGTGACAAGTAGACGGACGCACACACACACACGCAGACATACTTAGCGAATTATATGTAGTACCAGGTCGAATCGCCCGGATGACACAGACCGAGACTACTCCTCATTCTTTAGCTCGACTAGAACTCATAACTAGGCACTCGCAAGTAGATTCGAAATCGTTGCAGATAGAGGAAGGCTTGAAGATCGTTGCACTACAAATTAGCAACACGCTATCTTAATATTGCAGACATAGGAGGCAAGGGAAGGTGTGGTCCGAAACGCCAATTAATGATTACAAAACATAAAATCTGTAGATATAACACAAATGATGTAAGTAAGGTCAAATACAGAAACCGCAGATAATGAAATCCTCAAGGAGAGCAGATTTTCGTTCCATTCCCTGCTAACCGAAAAATGACCTACGAATGAAAGCGTATGCTTAATTTTACAACTTTAAGCATTGCAATCCAAGCCTTAAAACCATATTAACTATTTGTAGGTACTATAGGGAGCCCATTGATATATTCGATGTAATCAGCAATTGGTCAAGATTCAAAAAGGTTATAAAAAAGTTCGCTAATTGAACGCCATGATAAATAGCCACATATGTTCTCATTGAATTTCATGAGTTCCATAGAATTTCAGGCGAAATACATACCCCCCCCCACCCCCCCCCCCCACCACCCACCCCCGCCCCCCCCCCCCCCCACCCACACCCTCCCTCGTCGACTTCGACATAATCGAACAATTAGTGGGAATGAGGTATCATGTCTAGGACATATCGCAGAAGTGAATGCTAAAAGGAAAGTTTGCAAACACAAGGGGCCTCAATAACTTGCGTATAGCCGATAAGAGAAATAGTATGAAAATGCCCTTATCAATTACTAACTCAATTGGTAAGAAATATGAACCTAGATTCACATCAGTTAACAAAGACCCACAATCACTACAATACCCTTAAAACATATGGTAGTAGTAAGGCATCCAGCACTTTTGACTGACAAACAAATGGCAACGTCCTATGTACTTGCCCCCTATCAGACTGTATAATCACGTACACTGTGCACACGTCGATGTCCCCCAATCACCACACCAATACATCGTTTTCTTGAATATCAAACATCCCAGCTGAAGATGCTGTGTCCTTGCGTTATGAGTGTGGGGAACTTACCGTTCTAACTCCCCTTATCGGATCTTATCAGCTGATATCATTCCCTGTCACCCATCAATAATGTTCCTGTATCACACCCTATACCATACCTTGGAACCAACGTCCCAGTGTTGCTGTGTCCCGCACTATGGACCCGATGGCTCTCCCCTTCAGTCGTCTCTTATCGGATCTTATCAACTGATATCACTCCCTGTCACCTATCAATAATGTTCCTGTCCCACACCTTATACCATACCTTGGAACCAACGTCCCATTGTTGTTGTGTCCTGCACTATGGACCCGATGGCCCTCCCATTCTGACGCCTCTTATCGGATCTTATCAGCTGATATCACTCCCTGTCACCCACCAATAATGTTCCCGTCACAGCCTCTATATCATTGCCCGGAATCAACTTCCTACAGCTACTGGGACGGGCGCTATGAATTTCGTGACACACACACACACACACACACACACACACAGACACACTTAGCGGATTATATATAGTAGGAAGATATGGTGCATTTAACTACTCGGTGAAATAGCAATGAAAAAAAAACTCAGAAGAAAAGAGAAAGCACGGTCCCAGCTTTCTTAAACGAACCCTGTCTACGCTCCTAAAGGCTGCGAGGCGACAGTCCACTAGGCACTTTGGAATCACCTTCACCTCTGGCTGTCCAGAGTTCGGATGCCACCGCAGCTCCTAGCGGTTTTCTGGGACAATCGACGGGGCCCTGCGTTGGCCCAATTTCCTCGCGTGCACGGCTCGATGAATACGAACAACAGCTATCACTGATATACGGCAGCGTTGAGATATGAACGAAGTGGCGGAATGAAGCGATCAGTCAGGAGGACGGCAACATGACCTAGACTGAAGGGCTCTTAAAGTCGTCGCCGCCTCTGAGTCCCTAGCGGCGTCTGGAATCTTTTCTCTGCTGAGCGCCCCAAAACTGCCGCGTATACCATAAACGCGACCCTTTCAAGTAGAAATAACGACAAAACTGCTATCGAGGGAGATAGAGTTGTTGTCCAGTTCACTGCGGACGAAGGGGCGTGTCCAAGGGACGAAGGGGGTGGTCTGGCGCGGTGCCAAACACATTCTTCACTAGTTGTTGGAGCGAGCAAGTGACAAGACTGCATCATATCGCTTGTATCAGTCGTTTTCTACCACCTCTTGCTGCGTACCCGCTTCGACAACTGTCAGAGAACGGGTTGTGCGCCGTGGCACACTCATACTGCCTGACACGCCCCTTCGCTCGCAGCGAACTACACTATAGGATGAACCATTCACACCAACGCCAACTATGAATTCAGCCCCGACAAAGGAGTAAAGCCTGGATAGGATACTCATTCCGTTATGCTTTGGTATAAAGCATAACGGAATGAGTATCCTATCCAGGCTTTACTCCTGGAATAGATTGCTATAGTCTAGGAACGATTTCGAACGAAAACGCGAGAACAACCATGCAGGCGGAGCCAGTGCAGGCAAAGAGGCGTCCACACGGTTGATATGTTAGGACGCGCCAAGTTGTATCTCAACAGCTCAGTGACATCGAAAGTCATCCGAGCAAGAACAGAAAGGTGATGCTTGTTTAGACTTCACAGACTTCTTTATTGGAATGGATTCAGGCTAAGGGAATCACAGTTTGAGTAGTCACTTCCACTGGATCACTTCTTAGGAAACCATGCAGATTTTGAGATGCTCTTCGTGTTGGCAATGTACAAACCATGAATACAGATAGGTTCCCGTATATGAGAGTAGCAGAAGTTGTTGCGTGAGAGGCGAGGGTTAAAAGAAGCAGAGGCAGGAGAGCATAGTCTGTACGGGTATACGCTATGGTCAGCAGAACACGTCTTCCCCTTCTCGTCTAGGCAATAAGTGTCCATGTACCATGACAGTAAGATCAACGCCTATGTGTCGATTGCTGATACCAGGCATTTCAAAGAAGGACTACGAGCTCACGAATCTATGTGGTACAAATGTAATATAATGTAATGTTTTGATATTTATGATATGATATTCAGCTCCCAAAGACCATTAAGGCTAGTTTCGCTATGAGCTGCTTGTGAACCGCTGCGAATTATCAAGATAGGGCAAGTTAAGAGCTAGATAAATGGAAGATTTTTCATTATGACCCTCTAATTCGAATTACTGTGCTTAGTGTCGTGTTGCGTTCAACACTGCGCTTTTAATTTTATTCATCATTATTGAAAGACTATTATAACAAAAACTAAACTTTCTGAATGGATAGAAAATCTGAGTGCAGGGTTCGTAGTTCGCTAAAGCAGCAATTCAGTTCTTTCAATGGAAGCGATCGCTATGACTGTGCGAAAGAATCGCTGCTGTCACGAGTTATGAACGCTGAATAACAACTAATACGCACCACATCGGAGAAAATCAAATTCGATACCCTGAAACCCCCCTAGAACGTGATCACATGTTGAGGAAAAGGGAGCCAAAGAAACTAAACTGAACATATCACAGTTGAGAAACAACTACATAATAAAGACAAATAAATAGAAACGAATAAGATTATCCTTTCCAGAATCGATAAAATGCATACATGAAGATTAGTGTAACCACACATCCCACAAGAAATATTAGCCAGTCCTCTCGCACCCGACGGTCGATCATTTGTAGCGTTGTGTTGGATAATCCTAACTGAAAACCATACGCAGTTTTGGAATGACTAATAGATGTTCATTTTTAGAAACTAACAGCAGCTCCGATGTCCAGTATTTTTCGTCGAACACCGCGAAGATTCATGTGTTGAGAACGAAGGCTTTCAAGAACAGCGACTCCTTGACTAATCAAATCATCGACCTGAAGCGACGAGATATACAGGGGGGGCCAAAAAAAAGTCATTTTGCCTCCATGACTTTCAAGGCGCTATAAGTTACACTTTATTAAATTTTTATCGGACATTTTTACTACCATTAAAGAGCACATTAAATACTATAATGATACTCCGCCACAGCCTTCTGGAGGAGCGCCATCGAGAGATTCGGCCGCGCGAAAGTGAGTGGGTACCGGAGTTGAGCGAGATCGTTGATTTCTCCGCCACCGTAGACCACCCTCTTGAACTCCGCCCGACTAGGTAACTGAGTGGATTCAGGTCAGGGGACATACTTCAATATTACATCTTCTTCAGGTACGAAACGCCCTTCCATTCGAAGTAGGCGGGAGTTTTTCCAAAACCCTTCGATTCCATGTGGTGGCACCCAAACCTGTAGCAGCACAAGGTCTCCAAGAAGGTACGGGCGACCACATGTAGGGAGGATATTCTTCTCGAGTTACTTGATGTAACCGCCAGCGCTCACCTTCAGTCGGGGTCTACAAAGAAAATATCGGTCTTCCCCTTTCCAGGTACCCCGGTCCATACCATCAACTCGCGCCTCGGCGAATACGGTGAAGATGATGTCCTAGACCGTAGCGACGTTGCCGTAGCTGCTCGATGTGGGAGGTCTTGCAGATCAAGAGTACTGACCTCCAGGTAGCTATCTGTGGATGACTTCATTCAAGAAGTTTCGCAGCTGTTTGGAGGCGACGTGAATTCCAAAGGTGTTCTCCAGTCAGGCCGCGACTGGAGATGACTTCATATTTTGGCGTACATGAAGGCGATTGGCGGCAGCGTGCTCCAGCTTATAGAGGAAGATCTTGGGTATCTTCCACTCTGGTACTCATATCCACTTCCCCTGTCTGGGCTGCGAAAACTTCGTTGATATGTGGCTCGGCCGAAATGACTTTTTTTTGGCCCCCCCCCTGTATAGCGGGAAAAAGAAAACTCAAACCGAGAAAACTAGTTCGCCACATCATTTTTATGAGCAAAGAATAATGAAGATTTCAACTATCTCTAATTGAGTTTAAAACTGTGCTGCATTCGACGTTACTCAGACCCGCACTGCAGTATGGTGCGATCTGTCGACTGAGTAGCAATAGGACCATGTGGTACTCGAAACATGTGAGTGGTAGCAGCACCATTTATCACCATACAAACCTCATGACTCTGCTGATACTTGCAAGGAGTTCTTTCAGGTGAGCGCTTTTTAAGACCGTTCTTGGCATAATGTACAGGGTTCTTGCATGAAAGAGACAGAGATTGATTCTACGAAAGCGGCTCCAAGAAGAAGGCGAGCACAAAAACGAGCCAACAGAAGGTTGGTGGTTCGATTACCAACTATGACAAAGTTTTCTATTTCTATGGCTTCCATTTTTTTCGGAGTCGTACCTATTGGAACTCTTTGTTCAAGAAAAACGTGTCCAAGGAGGCCCAAAATCACTTAACTATTAGGTTGGCGGGAAAGTTCTGTCATATATTTTTGAACCCAAAATATTTGCTAATTTTCTGAAAAGCGTTAACCGGTAATGTGAGCACTTATACATCAAAGAATGGTCTTTCTATTGGTATCACTGGCTTGACTCCTGCTCTCCTTATTGTGCAATATGAACAAGAATGTTATCCGCTACCTTTGGCACCGACCCCTCCAAGCGCTTCCTCAAACTCTTTCTTCTACCGCCCTGGCGCCAGCATGACAGCTGTCGACGCCGAAATAATGGAGCTGCACAAGGACAATGTCTACAGTCATCAGACAATCTTCCACGACGCTAGCTCTTCAGAGCGGGAGCCTACGGTTGCGAATGACGAAGTGAGGTTTGGGAGTACCTGTGATCTCAGCTTGAGATAGCTGTGGGCCGGGAAACTACTGGATGAAGAAGCTGCCTCCTCGGTCAATCCGTACGCAAGGCAGCTACGAGATCTGAAGCGAATCGTCAAGCAGAGGGCAAAATCCATCGGCACAGTCCGTCTTCAACGTGCTGGTGCAGCACACCCCGTCAAAAAAAGTTCGAGCCGTACTTCATGCAATAGAGCTGGATGGCTCTCCCCTTGCACCGGTGTAGTCCAGACATTGCTCTTTCTGACTGCTAGTCGCCTCCCGTATTCAACCGTTATACAGCCGAGAAAACCTCCACGACTTGAGCCCAAGTCAAAGTTGAGATGATGTCCAACATTGCGTCGTGCCAGCCTCCATTGTGAAGCGATGGCATCCACGAAGTGCTCGAAAACTGGCAGGGATTCCGCAATGACATTGCTGTATAATTTTGATCTTGTACGCCTCTCTATAAAAAGAAAGCCTTGTTTGAAAAAATGTGACAGAACTTTCCCGCCAACCTAATATATACCACCTAACGCTGCCAACAAAGCAGCCGCTTATGGAAAAGAAGCCATAATTCAAAGTTCAATGAGGAATGGAACCCATCCCGTGGTCAATGCTACAAACAGTACACAATGCGATAAAATGGTTTTCACTTTCTGTTTCACGTATAAAAGCAATGACCATTCTGAAAATGCCCCACGCCTCACTAGCCGCATGACTTTTGCTCAAAGTTGGTTGAGCAGCACTTATTCCTCAACACTTTCAACAAAGAATGGCATGATACTAAAATGCTAAGAGAAGAAGACCTATTGACGTGAAAGGAATGAATTTATTCCAAAGTTTGAGATTCCAGTAATCCTCGAATGACGTTGTAATGATAGGAGTATAGAATGAACAATTATTAATCACTCGTTTAAGTTCATATAAAAACAGTAATGAACACATCGCATGGGAATTACGCGTGAAATTTAAAAAATGGTATACATACCTGCCGGTTAGAAGAGCTCAGACGATCGTTCATCTGCAGCTCATGATCTTCCAACGACAATGTGGTTGATTCATTCGGACGGAATCTGCTTCAGAAACCCATCATTACGAAGAAAAACTGATAAATAAATGAATTATACCTTTGATGGAGTAGTTCCTCACGTTCACTAGCTGCACGCCATTTGGCAGTTAGCCTTGAAAACATTGCCGAAATTGCGTAATGAACATTCTGACTATCGTTTTTCAACTGATCAACCTTGATTCGAACCTCAACAAACAACTTATGACTATGAGTTATATCATTACTGGACATTCTTTTAGTTTACACTTATTGTTGTTTTCATTTGATACATTGGTCTCTACTTTCCCCAGTTTCCTTCGCCACGTTCCTCTCTTTATAAGATCTCATGTGCGGCGCGATGCCATGTATGTGGCATATCCGCGGAACAAAAACAAATGTGCATTTGCCCTGGACGATGAGGATCAAGAGGATAGAGTTCCACCTTCCGCTTTCTCACTAGCGTACTTAGAACGCGTTCAGACCTCGCGATCGCGCTCGAAGAGTTTCTCATGTTACTGAAAATTTCGATGCATAGCACATCCGCCTCGCAGTCCAGGGGTATGGTAAGGCTATCCTCAAAGAAACCCGCGCCCTGAGGAAGGACTGATCCCTGATTAGGCTTCGGCACAGCAAAGCACTGGGAAGAATGACACTGAATAATCATATGTAACAAAGTAGTTCACAAAAGAACCCACAATCAGCCACAAGTACTGAACTGCAATAGTGAGAATACCGATTTTTTTCAACAATTTGAAACTCACTATATGGCGCCGAGCAGGAGCTTCTTTATTTACAAGAATGACGAGCTGCTCACAGTTTTGGTCAATAACCCTATAGAACAACTTGTGAGGCAACAAGCGTAGCAAAATGACAGGGAATTTCACAGCGCAACAGAAATCTCTTTGCCTACCGTAACTGTTCAGTAATATACTGTGAAATTTGCTGCGCTTCTTGTTCATCTTTTGCCCGTTCAAGTCGACCCATGCTGAAATGAGCCTGCTGCAGTAAACTTGATGTCTCTTGATATAGCCGCTCCATTGGTACCTAAAGAGATAATGGCATAGCAGCAACTTGTAATCAAAACATCAAAGCGAACTGCAGAAAACTGACACAATATTAATTGTTTATGCTGAAAATGTTGACTGATAAACAACTATTCGCTCGGAAGAAGGAAGTTAATACCACGGTGGAAGATGAATTGGTGCATTTACGTATAGTGCAGAGATGACGACAAAAGAAGTGCAAAGCTTGCACGTGCGCTAATATTGCATTTGTTTCTACATTTTCGCATTTACCACGTTTCCACTTTTGATCACTGGACTCATCTTAGCTAAACAAGGACAGCTTGGTAGTCGAGACCTCAGGCTGCACTAAAACCTTCCAATGTGGATCATTTGTTCGTGTTTACAACCTTTCTATTGAATGGGCGGATGAGGAACCAGCTCGTCCAATACTGTTAGTTTCACTACTGCAGTAATGCTGGTCTTCTAACCTAGGAGCCCTCCTTTTCTGACCTAGTCTGAGGTTTCTGACCTTTGAATAATATGATGCTGAATCAAAGGAAGGAATGCATTTCCGGTAAAAACACGCACACTAGAGGGCAAACCTAGGATTATATGCAGTAGGATATAGTGAGTGGTCATGGTCTAGCCCGGTTATACTTTGCAAAGGTGTAGAATCCGCTGATTGGGAGAATCAGATTCGATCGGTTCTTTTACAGACCGCGAATCTGCTCGATCCGCGCATTATTCTGATTTTTCTGTTCTCCCAGCTCGCGGATTCTCAGGACCAATGCCAGCAATGCATATTCGTTATTTTGCGTCCAGCTACGACTGGAATTTGTCTGACTTTGGGCATCTAAAGTTTGACAATTTCGTACCCGACCTAATGAGCTGAAATGGAGGATTTGTGACTGTTTTGCGAGCAATCGAGACGTGTGGAGCTTTAACACTTCTCGAAGCAAGTTCTAACCTCTTGCCACTGCTGTTTTTGTTCGTGCGTAGACTCCTCACACAGATTTAATGCCGGCGCTCGATTTCGCAGGGAGTAGAGCCCAAGTTACTAAACCTGCGTGGACCGCCTGGTTTTGGAGGAGCTCACAGATCCAGATACAGACAGATACACTATTTGCAGCTTTACGATGTTAAAGGTAACCTTTCGATCTCCACTTTTTTTCTTAAAGAAAGGAGTTTTCGTTGTAGGAATCCACTCGAGAGTTTCTCCAAGCTCCTCACGTTCCGATTTTCCATGTCACTGAATGAACCCTCACTTCATTCAGTACGGGCCCTCTTCGGGAACTAGTGCACCAGAAGTGGATGGCTGGTCAAGTTAACTAAGAGAAATGAGATGTGTACCCTCTGACGCGCCTTGAGACATATCTACTTTCATATCTTCTAAGCGGCTCTCTGAAGAAAATTATGGAGGTTCTTTTGAGCTGATTGCACTAGTGCTCGGCAGGTACATTCCCTATCCCTGAGACGAAGTAGGCGTGGCATTCGAACATGGCATAGAATGAGTTGCTCACGAGGTATCTATGTTTGAGGCAATTGTTATCTTGTTCACTGTTAGATATGCGCATGATCACACTTGTGTCAAAATGAAAATGTCCCACGAATACCTTGGCAGCGGCCACGTTTAGTGGAAGCAGGGATTCCGAGTATATGTGCTGCGTCCATACTTTGCGTCAGCGTTTCGAGCGATTAGGAAACTATAGACATCGGTCTAGCGTTTTGAGCTTAAATCGGCGACGGCTGCCAAAAGTTTAAAGACAGCCCCCCGCTCAAGTAGTACATGGTCGTCCTTCCTTGTGCAAGTAGTACAGCCCCAAGCTAGAGACTGTCCCACTCTCGCGACTCCACAGTGAGCGAGGAGCGAGCTACAGCCGCTGAAAGTTCTAGTTCTAACGCCGCCCAGTTGGACCGCCCACTTGCTAGATGCCCTCCGACGGAGGGCCACTCAGTTGGGGCGGCGGGCATTAATCGGAATTGCATGTCCTTTTTGCTGACCGCGCTCGTGCCCATGAATGATTCTGCTCTCCTTTATTACATTTTATTCATTAGGAGCACATACAGTCAACTCCAACCCATCTCGCAAGGTAAAACGCGTAAAAATCACGAGTGATGCAATTTCGCAGGAAGGTGTGACTGTCAGGGAGCGATCTCCTTTATGGTGTTCTTGAGGACTCTTCTTGCTTTTTTCTTCTTTGGGGAATTACTTATCACCTACTGTTTCATAATTGAACAGCAACTATTGATGACATTTTTGAGTCTGAGTGAAGTCTGAAGTCAGAAGTGCTATGCCTCGCTTAGAAGCATTGTTGCCTTCATAAGTCAGTCAGTCTTAGGTTATCGAAGCACGCAGTATCGCTTTCGCTTACGTAGTTCTTCTCGAAAATTGGTGCCAGCAGCTCAACCCACCTCCATAACTCTGGTAAAAGAACAGTTCAGTAGTTTCAGAACGCCGATGTAAAACCACCGTCGATAGACCCTTCAGCCGATTTACGATTCGTTTGAAATGAACACTATGACCAGTCATCCTTTCCTCGTCGGCTAGTTTACTCCATTCATTTGGGGGAGCGGCTTTTGTTCTCTTTATCTGTCACTGCTTAGGTGTTATGTTAATAGCATGATAGGTCCTTCCCCCCTGTCAAGCTTCTCTTCTTGGGAAATTGGAGGTAACTGAGGTGAGAGGATAAGTGGAGTTTGATTATTCAGGTGAAGGGGGCTATATGGGTGTGCGCGAGGCAACAGTGAATGTGTCGTGCTGAACGGCCAACTTTTCTCATTGGCGTGACGTGTCCTCAGCATAGAGACATGTGATGGTAGTGATTCATATGTGTAAAATCAATCTGATAGTTTGTTGTGATGACAAAGCATTCGTTTTCTACGACTACATCTCTTGTATTCTGGATGTGCTTAATGTGCATTAAGACTTAACTAA